GCTGCATAATATATATGAATTAATTAATTCATTCAATCAATCTATATTTATTCACTTCTACAATTCAAGAAGGATTTTTCTAATGTATCAAAACATTTTGGCAAATTGCGTAAATGGAATATACACCCAAAATGTACATCTTTTTCAACGCAAGTTTCATAAATGAGCTTGTGTGTATGTGCGCGCGTGAGTGCGTGTGTGCGTTTGAACCATATTCTTTGAAACCCCAATTCCAGTTAGCCCTTGTAGTTTTCAAGCGAATTTGGCCTACTTACTAATCTGCAGGCCTACCCAAAATTGCAAACCTGGCGCCAATACTGTTGCGAGGATGAACGGAGGGAGATATGTTTCCAAAAAGAAAAGGTGGTGGAGCTAATTTTACTTTTCTTATCTGCAACACGTTCTTATTCTGAGGTGGTAGGTTGTAAAAATGTAGTTGGCTACCAATGCGAGATCTACAAGGCTTATAATATAAAGTATTCAGTAGCCCTATGAGCGAAAGCCGCTTGTTGCTCCATTATCCGCGCGCAGCAATAACATGTCTATGAGCGAGGCCCGCAGTCGGGGAACACCGGGCCCTCCGGCGTTTGGAAGGTCCGATGTTCCCCGGGTCCGGTGTTCCCCGCCCCGGGGAACATCGGACCCGGGGAACATCGGGCCGACCCCACCTTGCACCACCCGAAGCACAAGAAGCTGGGGAGGGGGCGGAAGGGAGAAGAAGCCAGAGAGTGAGGCACGGGCTAGATCCATGGGCACTTTGCCTATTTTAGCCTCTTTTTAGCTTAGGTTTTAATAGATGGTTTACCATTGACGTCACGCACTACCCACACAATTCCGCAGTTTGCCATATTGTCAGTCTAGCCGTCGTTAGTTGTAGGTAAACAAAGCATAGCACATCACATTTTTGCGCTAAAACAATACAGTCTATGGCTAAAACATGCCGACTGCCTGCGTCGTTTGGGGGTGCAGTAACCGTGCAGATTGTGGGGACATGCCGAAGGTATTAAAAGCTAGGGGAGCAACTCTCGACGCAGAAAAGAACCCTTTAGTTGGCGAGAGGGATTCAACCCTAACCCCCTGAAAAACGGCACTATAAGGTCTGTTCTGACCATTTCATAACAGGTAAGAGCTAAATCTGTGCATGTGTGGTTTATATTCAGAGCTGCGATTTGACTGTGATACCATGTACAGCAGGGACGTGCAGTCAGGGGAGGCAGGGGAGGCAGAGCCTCACCTGCCATTATTGGAAACTAATAATTATTTTAGTTTAAATATATAATTTATATCCACTGTCCTATGCTTTTAATGTATATTCGGCACGGTTCCCATCAGTTTTGATCATTTCTGAAGTCAAAATCGCCGAAATCCCGTTATTCCTATTCAAAGAGACGAGGTGAGGCAGCGCTCCTGCGTGCCTCACCCCAGACCGCTCCCTCACAGTGTGTGTGTGTGTGTCTGAGTGCACTCAGCTCGTGCAGTTGATATATCACCGTTTGTTTCAAATATCCTGCTTTAAAAACATTTTTTAAACTCCTCTTAGTGTTTAGTAGTGTATTGCACGTATGTGTGTACAATTTATATTTAGTTTAAGTCTTTTGATCGTAGATGAACACACAAGGAAAAAGCTTGGCGTGAGGCAGGCGGTATCTGTGCCTCACCGCTAGGGGTGATAGTGAGCATAAAGTTCATACCAGAGTTGCTAACAAACAATCAGCCCAAAATGCTATTTCTTTTGCTGGAAAATGGATGATTTGAATGAAGATTTTTTTTCTCAATTGGACTTTCAAACAAAGAAAGAATTAATATAGACTGGGAGACCACCACTGGACTTACGAGGTTAGTCCGGCTGCGGGGGAGGAGTTTGTTAATCTGTGTTTTATGTTGAACATTGACAGATACCGGCAAAGTAGTGCTTTTCCGAAAAACACTGATTCAAACACTGCTCAAGAGTTCTGCAACTTGTTTAAATTATTGTTTATGTTCCTCGCGTCTCTCTCTCCTCGCGTCTCTCTCTCCTCGCGTCTCCGTCTCTCTCTGCTCCTCGCGTCTCCGTCTCTCTCTGCTCCTCTCTGTCTCTCTCTGCTCCTCTCTCCTCACGTCTCTCTGCTCCTCTCTGTCTCTCTCTCCTCGCGTCTCTGTCTCTCTCTGCTCCTCGCGTCTCCGTCTCTCTGCTCCTCTCTGTCTCTCTCTGCTCCTCTCTCCTCGCGTCTCTCTCTCCTCGCGTCTCTCGCACCTGCGCTTCTTAAAGATGTTGTTTGATGCGGAGCAGAGTCAGCAGCTAGATTTGTTGTGAGATTATTAAAAGAAGCTGGTTCTCTTATCTTTACAGTATATAAAGTTTGTGGATGTCATTGCATTGGTGATTAAATGCTATTTTATTTGAATAATGATTGTAAATCTGACTTTTAAAGTCAGTGCCTCCCCAATCACAAACCTCACCGCACGTCCCTGATGTACAGTACAGGTATATATGGGCCTCAAGAGATCTCATCTAAATGAATGAGAGGGGGAGGAGGAGGAAAGGGTGACAGAAGTGATTCACAGCCTGTGATATCAACTGCTTCGTTCAAAATAAATTATTGATTGAAAGAAATATAGCACTTTATACATCATGATCTTTTTTAATTGTAAAACTGTTAAGTGAAAGTAAGCCATTTCTGGCGAAGTCCACTGGTCTCGATCTATACAATCTCAATTTCTCCAAGGATCTTGCTTCACAGATTACTCCAGAATATCAATATACAAATTCGTGGCTTTAAATGACAAACAACATGGCGTTCGTGCAAAGCATTATGGGTAATAAGCACGTGATACTTGTTTTTTGTGTATTTTATAATAAATCATTTTTACATTTGCTTTTAATCCAGTGGTCTCCTTTTAAACCCGGGTCCAAAGAGTCTGTTTTTCCACTTCCGACCTTTTTGGCGTTGTCAGAAGGATCCGATATCTCTGTTTTGAACTTGGGTTTTTACTGCTTTTTATTCTTTTACTTGTTTTCCATGTAATATATAACAAATCGTTTATAATTTGCTTTTAATCCAGTGGTCTTCTTTTAAACCCGGGTCCAAAGAAGATGTTTTTCCACTTCCGACATATGTATGTGAAGGCATCTCCCACTCTTGGAGCTTGTAAGAGGCCACAAAGCCTTTGGTCCTGCTCTATGGTCCTGCCACAGACACGTGGTTCTTAGTTTGGCATTAGATACGTCATCAGAGTCGAGGGACGAAGTCAAGTTCACACTGAAGCCAGAGGCCAGGTAATCCTCAGATGAATGTCCACCAAATTGGATCTGGTCGGCTTATGGAACCTTACCCTTCTACATCTGAGGCTATTAAGAGCAACTAGGAGACAGGGAGAGTTCCAACCAGAGGAAAAGTCACTGCAGAAGAAGGATCATTGTATGTGACCTCTATTAGGAACAGTATGTAGATTTAGTCAAATAATAATCCTCGTCTAAACCATATGTACCAGTGATTCCTCTGCGGCACGAGTTTAAGAGACTTATTACGCAAAATTGTTTTTAGAGCCACCCATTCTAATATATCAGACTTCTTTCACAAACATGTAACTCCGCCCCCTCTGTCTAAAAGCCCCCGTATCACACCTGTAAAAGCATGTCATTGTATAGAATACTTTTCTCTCTCATACACAAACACACGTAAGAGACCACTTGGATTTCAAGAATCTGGCAACCCAAATTGGCAAGACTAGTTTATTTGCACATTTTGGAATCAGTACACCCCCAATATGACTGTATTGAAGTGGCACCCAAATATATACCGGTACCCTCCTCCCATTTGAGTTACATAGATATTAGGAGTATGTGCACGCCTTTACATCCTACCTTCCATCACATCTTTAATTGACAACAGCCACTACTTTCAAAAGTCTTCTGTATTATAAAACATTCCCTGGATGTCATTCTGTGCTGTTTTCTTTATGTTCAGGTTAAAACTGCAGACTTTATGATCTCAGTGTTGTGTCATTCTGAGCCAACTAATGGACCATAATCTCTAATTATTATGTCTCTCTGCGTGGTCTCTTACAGACTTCCGATGTGATGCTCCGTCTGTAATTACGGCCAATAAAACACCTAAATCGTCACACTCTTTGCTCCGATTGGGGTCACTGCTGTTAATCTGCCTCCGAGACTCGGTAATGGGGATTTTCTCATGCAGAGCAGGGCATGAGGCACTAGACACAGATAGATTGAACCTTTCTAAATATTAATGCCGCTGTTATTGTGAAAGAGATGTGATTCATACGCCTCGAGATGATAATAGATTAGGTTGCCTGTGGTGTAACTTCATTAAAAATATTGACACGACAATGCTTTGCTGCACAGGTGAGATTTTATTCATTTTTCTCCTCTCAATCAAAGTGCGTTTACAATTCTCTCAGTCACAAACTCAATCACTCATAAATGGCAGCGGTACTATTCTGAAGTACCCATCAAATCTAAATTGGCTTCACATAAGAACAAAACTAAGTGATGGAAAAGTGTGTAATTGAAACAAGCTTTCTACAAATTCTTACTTGAGCAGGAACTATGCTTACTGCATGATTGAAACCGGGCTGTTGAAATATACCAAAAACTAAGACTATTTAAAGAAACTAAAGATACATCCTTGGTAAACAGCTTCATTCCGTATTTGATTACAATTGGCACATCTCTGTGTAAACAACATCTGATTAAACACACGCCCTCCGGAAAACAATTCTTGGCTCATTCAGGTGGCCATTGTTCACTGGACAAGTGTTACATTTTGCCAACAACAACTACAAACAGCATTTTTTTGTTTCTTAGAGCGAGAAAAAAAAAGCCATAACATGCATAAATAAAACCCAGAGTTAACCTTGTATCACACAGATGGTACCGGTGCATTTGTTTCAGTTGTAATATTGAAGTTATGTTTCGAATAGATTCAAACAATGTGTGAATGGAAATGTTCAATGTGATGAGACTACAGGGGCTGATGACGGACTGTGCTGCTACGGCTTCAGTGCTTGTTCCACATGGGGGCGGCCACAGGGATGCTGGAAGCCCTCTCCACCACAATCATCTCGTCAGGGTTGTCCCAAGCATGATATTGCAACAGGAGCTCTTGGATGGCACGCTCCTCAATCTGGTGGAGAAAGACGAGCAGAAAATGGATGGAGGAACATTTTGCATAATTACAACCAGAAAGGCCTGAAAGAGGAGGTGCTGACAAGAGCAGTACAGTTGAGACCAACCGCACTTCATTTATCGAGCTGGAAACCATGACTACACAAAGCTTCTGTTGGGGCCATTTGTCCTTAGATTAGATTTGAGTTCTGACAATTTAATTAGCTCCTTATATTTTGTTAGGTAATTTGTTTAACCTTTTTTTACTTTAGTTTCTTTAACCCTGTGACCAAACAGGGTTATTTTCGTAGACAGGTCATGTGTATGTTCATGAATGAAAGTTTAACGTTTGAACCAAGTTCCAGGAGGAATGATAACACGCAACACTGCTGACTAGGTCAATTATTTCTTCAATAAACGTGTTCAAAGTCCTATATACAGTGCCTTGCGAAAGTATTCGGCCCCCTTGAACCTTTCAACATTTCGCCAAATTTTAGTCTTCAAACATAACACAAAATTTTAATTTTTTGTCATGAATCAACAACAAGTGGGACACAATCGTGAAGTGGAACGAAATTTATTGGATAATTTAAACTTTTTTAACAAATAAAAAACTGAAAAGTGGGGTGTGCAATATTATTTGGCCCCTTTACTTTCAGTGCAGCAAACTCAGTCCAGAAGTTCAGTGAGGATCTTTGAATGATCCAATGTTGTCCTAAATGACTGATGATGATAAATAGAATGCACCTGTGTGTAATCAAGTCTCCGTATAAATGCACCTGCTCTTTGATAGTCTCAGGGTTCTGTTTAAAGCGCAGAGAGAACCATGAAGACAAAGGAACACACCAGGCAGGTCCGAGATACTGTTGTGGAGAAGTTTAAAGCCGGATTTGGATACAAAAAGATTTCCCAAGCTTTAAACATCTCAAGGAGCACTGTGCAAGCAATTATATTGAAATGGAAGGAGTATCAGACCACTGCAAATCTACCAAGACCTGGCCGTCCCTCCAAACTGTCATCTCAAACAAGGAGAAGACTGATCAGAGATGCAGCCAAGAGGCCCATGATCGCTCTGGATGAACTGCAGATAACTACAGCTGAGGTGGGAGAGTCTGTCCATAGGACAACAATCAGTCGTGCACTGCACAAATCTGGCCTTTATGGAAGAGTGGCCATTTCTCAAAGATATCCATAAAAAGTCTCGTTTAAAGTTTGCCACACTGATACTCCTTCCATTTCAATATAATTGCTTGCACAGTGCTCCTTGATGTTTAAAGCTTGGGAAATCTTTTTGTATCCAAATCCGGCTTTAAACTTCTCCACAACAGTATCTCGGACCTGCCTGGTGTGTTCCTTTGTCTTCATGGTTCTCTCTGCGCTTTAAACAGAACCCTGAGACTATCAAAGAGCAGGTGCATTTATACGGAGACTTGATTACACACAGGTGCATTCTATTTATCATCATCAGTCATTTAGGACAACATTGGATCATTCAAAGATCCTCACTGAACTTCTGGAGTGAGTTTGCTGCACTGAAAGTAAAGGGGCCGAATAATATTGCACGCCCCACTTTTCAGTTTTTGATTTGTTAAAAAAGTTTAAATTATCCAATACATTTCATTCCACTTCACGATTGTGTCCCACTTGTTGATTCATGACAAAAAAATTAAATTTTATATCTTTATGTTTGAAGACTGAAATATGGCGAAATGTTGAAAGGTTCAAGGGGGCCAAATACTTTCGCAAGGCACTGTACATGAACAGTATACTTTTTGTTTTGATTACAAAAAAAGGAAAGTTAAGAATGTTGGGTTGGCTGGGACCAATATTGCCTGGCCTGCCAGACACTCCTCCTTTCTGTTCAAAAGAAGAACCGTCTGGACACCTCTTCCTAGCCTATCATTTCACGATTTTACCCACATCGGTCCAATCACGCACCGAGAGGCGGGACTTCCTTTCACCTTTGAGTTGCTAATAACTCCTCGTATCTTTAAGTTTTTGTTACAAAATCGACAGCAGTCGTTTACATTTGCACTAGCTGACATGCCGCCATCCCTTGTTTTGTGTTTACTGAAACGGCTTGGGTGCCGCTAGTTGTTGCGTCATATCCTGTGTGCATCTAATTGGTTGATGCAGTCTGTCAACCACGCCCACCGGGAATTCGCTGAGATCAAGCTCGTTCCCAGACTATATGTCTTTGAAAAAGCATATCGTTTGGCAGGCCAGGCAAGGACCAATAGGTTAGGAGCACTATAACATTGCATCTGCACACAGTCCTAGAGGGTTTGACAACAGGGTTCAGGGAGCATCAGTGCATCCACACAGAGTGGTGAGTGTGGGCATGTGAGTGCAACACTAACAAGGTGCATGATGGGTGACATGGTGAATTACCTGGATGAGCGCCAGCGGCTTCTCTCGGCTGCGGATCAGTGCAGCTTCCTGCTGCCGCTCTTCCTCCACGATAGAGGCAAAGGTCATCGTGGCAGTGGTGACGGGGGGAGGGCTTCCGACAGTCCGCAGCACCCAGGGCCTGACACAGAAAAGAGTCTAAAACATCTGACAGTGTATGTGTGTGCGTGTATCTATTATGCAACCTGCCAAACAATTTTCTACAAGAAAAAAATTTGTTTTGGTTCACACACAAAAAAAACCAAAAAATGTTTTTGGTTCACACACAGGGGCGACAGTAGCTCAGTTGGTAGAGAATTGGCCTTTAGGCCTGAAGGTCGTGGGTTCAATTACCACCTCTACACCTTCTCCACCGACTCCCACTGATGACTGCTGTCGTTGTGTCCTTGGGCAAGACACTTAACCCCACTTTGCCCAAAGCCCCCACTGAAAGATCAAGGCTATGCTCACACTCAGAGAGCAGCCGTCCTCCTGTGGACTCACCCCCTGCAGAGGGTCAGTGAGGGGCTGGTGCTATGAGACTTAGGTGGCATCTCTGATTGCCACCCCCCTGACCCAGAAATGGATTAAAGGGTAGAAAATGGATGGATGGATGGATGGGTTCACACACACAGGGGAGACGAGTGCTACGAATTATGGAAGTTTCAACGTACAGTGCCTCGTGAAAGTACAAATAACTTTTGCACATTTTGTAATTTGTATTGAAAGTTCACACACTGATCAAGGCCAGGCTATTGCAGGCCCTCCTCTTTACTTTTCTATTTTTGATTGGATAAAAGAATAATGTATCATTTTACTTTAACTTCACAGTTGTCTGTTACTTATGTGTGAACTTTCAGTTAAAAAAATCTAAATAAAAAGGTGTATGTTTATGGTTGTAAACCTGACAAAATGTGCAAAGGTTCAAGGTGTATTAGTACTTTCCAGAGGCACTGTATCCAGAGCAGCCGCGTGCAAATTTAGAGACGCTAACAAAGCGGAGCTCACAGGGAAATGGGAGGGGGCACCAACAGAACCATTACACCAAACAACCACAAGCCTATCTAAAAGAGGAAGCCAAGGATGTTCAAATGTTATGTTGACAAGGCAAATATTGGTATAATATAATAGTTATTAAAAAAATACAAAACATAAAGAAAATTGTTGAATTATAGAAACGGTGTTTCTATAATTCTTCAGCTGCTTCTTCCTGCACCGTATGATGGGCTGTGACACGGAGCTGCCCCTTTCTACTCTGGTTATCATCACTGGCTTCACTGGTTTGACTCACAGCTGTTTAAGTTCTGCACCGATGGCCCCATAGAAGGTCTCTGCATAAATAAATCGGCTGTGACTGCAAGAGCTGTGACATTAAGTAACGTACAATATTTGAAACGGAGCGATCTTGGAAGTCAAAACATAATAACTGGAGAGGGTAAATAAACAGAGCTGTATGCAGGTTTAGGGGCGTGAGGAAAGGTCAGGGTGAGTCACTGTCTCTGTAACTCAGATGACCTTATCACATCTCCCAAAACTGTAGCGCTGTAGACCTTAAACCCTTTATTATCAAAAAGGCCTTTCCCTTCTTCCAAAGTCTAAAGCTGCAAACTGTTTCATACATCTTGCACACATTTAAGTTTTCTTTTTTGATTCTCTTTTCTTTTACAATAACTGAATAAAACAAACAAAATTGTACACAAATAGAAAATCTTGTGTGAAGCAAGGCATATGGTATTTGTGTTTCTTAATGAACTGTGGTACAATGTTTGTGTACCTACCCCTGCTTAAAGAGACAGAATGTCGTATACACCTCAGTAGTTTAACAAAGTCACTACAATTGTGTTATCTTTGGTGCCAGTTCATATTAACACACACTCTTAGTGCCATTACTGATGCAGCTCACCTGCTTAGGTTTAGGCAGACACTAACACAAAAGTGACAACCCAAATGAGATAATCATGTGATGCCAATTCTGATTTCTCATTGTATGATCAGCTGGAGACCCACAATAATAGATGGAGACATCAATTATATCCACTCTATTTTTAACTAAGAATAAATCCAAAGGCCAAACACAATTTGTACAAAAGTGTTTTGTCCTTTTAAGGGCTATTAAACTTCTTTTTCAAATGGACTCCTTCAGAGTCTCCCTGCTCGAATAAATGTACATTGAGACTCAGCATTTGATTGGTTTAACTATAGATTTGATGACAGTATCCGCTTTATTTTGTTTGTAAAAATCATCCTAATAACAATAACAAGCAATTCATTTATCATTACAAATGATGAAAATAGGTATCAAAATAAGGGGAGTATCTCATATTGTTAGGCACACCCAAACCAAGACGGCAGAAAATATTTATATATTTTCATGTTTGGAAGATGGGCTGGGGCCACAGAAGATGAAGATAATTTGCCCCCCAGATGTAAAGGTGCATTCCACAAGTTGGTTTTCACTTGGGTTCATCTAAATCTAAATAGTAGTTTTGCATGTAATGTTCCATGATTAAGATTTATATGGAACAACACCAGAAATGAGAAGGTTTAGGAATAAGTAGGCCAAGACCATTCTTAGTCGACTACAGTAAAGAAATAGGGTTGAAAAATAAAGGTATAAATACTAAATGATAATCATATCTAGAATAAAAGAATTATAGACATACCTTCTGTGAATGGCAATACGGTTCTGTGCGAGAGGAGTGGAATGTGGCTTTTGCAGCACCACACTGCCCTCTAGGTTGTGTAAAAGTAAAGCACATACCCTGTCGGTTTGTCCTGCTCGCTGGTCTCTGCACATTTAAACGAGACCCTCTTTGGAGCAGAGTTGGTGCTCACAGGGGAGACCAGCTGCTTTTCCTCCTCCTCCAGCAGAGCCCGGAAAGAGCTTGAAGATGGAGGGGACTGAATGGCTGTAGCCCTGTAAATGAAAGAAAATAACAATATGGTTTCTGTGGAAGCTACAGCTTTCATTGCCTTGACCCCATCTTTTGGAAGTAGTGGTCAGCAAAATGTTATGGAAAGGCCTCAAATAAAACAATTGGTGGTAATATTAGTCAATTGGGGCATTTTTAGATGCTATTACATAATGCCTTGATGGATATTGGCAAGAATACATTTCCTTTAAGGAGAGGAAAACATGGATACCAAGATATCCAGTAAATTATTTGTGACATAATACTGCTGATGTGACACTCACCAGGCCTTTCCAACAGCTTTGGAGGGAGCGACGATCGGCTTTGGTTTGGATGCTGTGGCCTCTACGACAGGCTCCTTGTTGGCCATAGCCAACATCTTCCTCTGTTTCTGGGACAGTTTTGTCATGGATGGAGATTGCTTAACGCTAAAGCAAAACATTTGATTAAAGTTTAGTATTTACAATAAAAGTCATTACAATATTTACAACATAAGTATCCTTATGACAGTATATAGGTTAAAAACATGTCATATCATCATGGAAGATCTGATACCTTCCATTGCTTTTCGGTGTCGCTCCAAGAACAATCTGAGAATTAGCTTCCATGTCCATAATAGCTCTCAGATCCATAACTGGTGTCGGACGAGAGTCGTGCAAACTGAAAGTGGATTATAGTCTGAGAAAGAATTCCAGATGATTTCAATGTCCTGTGGCACCATTTATACCTGGGAATGACTTTTGAGATGTTGTGAAGAGTGGAGTTGGGTGGGGTTAAGGGGCCATTCTTCAGTGAAATTGGAGTACTGGGCGGAGTCTTCAGTTTTTGGGTGAACAGCTTTTTACCCTATACAAGACATGAATACAAAATAGAATATACATAATATGTAATAATAAATCAATTTTATATACTGTAGCTGTTTTTTGGACACTCAAAGACGCTTCACATGTAATTACTCTTTCACTCCATACACAGTGGTGATAAACTACTGCAGTAGCCACAGCTGCCCTGAGGCACACTGATAGAAGCGAGTCAACCAGTATGTGCCATTGACCCCTCTGATCACCACCAACCATATACACACATGTTTTTGTTTACATTTTTCAAGCATAATATTTTCTTGTCATTTACATCTGGCTTGTTGTGGAAAACAGGAGACTGGATCTCCCGAGGACTGGCCGCACCCATGTAACTGCCTTCAGAGTCTGAAGTGAGTAGCTCCGGCAAGGACTCTATGGAGTTAGTCTTTTGGCTCTTCACAAAGCATGGCGTTGGCGCTAAGGACAGAGCACACAAACATGAGGCAATACTAATACATCCTAATAAGCTACATTGGTTCTTTATGTGTGGAGTTTCACCTGCAGTAGGAGGACTTTGAATTATATCTGAGAGAGTGTAGCCGCCTGAGCTGTCTGACCGACGTCTTGGTTTCTTTTTAGCCTTAATCTTTGCTTTCTTCAATAATAAGTCTCTAAAATACATAATGGAAGCGTTCAGTGAAAACTTAACCCTGCAATTAAAGTGAAGTCACACATGTTCAATTTTAAACCATAATACCTGCACAAGCCATCTCCTTCTGTCTCAGATTTAGGGGTGAAAATTAAGTCCAGATCTTCTTCATACAAACTGAGATCAGGAGCCCCAGGGTACGGGGTGATGATTCTTCTCTGCATCGCTGGTATCTGGAAATGACAATGTTTATATATTGTGTAAAAAGGAGTAATTCATTATTATTGTTATTCTCACTGAAAGACATGCATAAATTTAAGAAATATAGAATGATTATAATACAATTTATTTCTTAGGCGCCTTTCTTGACACCCAAGGTCGCCTTACAATGCAAGTAAAAAGTACATATTAAAAACAGTTTCTAATACAAGTTAAAAGCAGCATAACAGGATGAGTGGGCTTGTCTAAACAGATGATTTTTGAGGGTGGATTTGAACTGTGAGAGTGAGTCAGTGTTACGAAGGTCTCTGAAGTTAAATCAATGTAATGTATTATAAATACTAGGGCTGTCAAACGATTACATTTTTTTAGTTGATTAATTGTATAGTAATGGTGAGTTAACTCACGATTAATCGCATTTTTTACATTCTATTTCAAATCCACTCCAATTGAAGTTAAATGAGATTATCAAATGTAATGACACGTTGTCATTCATACCAAATGTGTTAGATTCACAACCTTTTATTTTTGGGCACAACCAAAATGAGCTGTTAATGAAAGGGGAAAATTTACGTACCCGAGCTTTGATTTAGCAAGTTTAGTTTCAGGAGGAGACACGGACAATTCCGCAGTGTATTTGCGTGCACAGGCAACGCACAGGTTGCAAAGAGACGCAAACAACAAGCAGTGAATAGTCCGTTGTGTGTATGGTCTAACCGCGGCGCTATTCGCCGTGTTGTTGTTAGCGGCTCACAGCCGCTAACAACAACCAGAGCGGCCACAGCTGCCCCCAATGTGTGCCCCGGGAGGCGGACTTCAGTTCATAGCAAACAACAGAAAGTGCCCCCAGAGAGCCTACCTGCTCTGTTGCCATCTCACACACGCATGAATTCCGCGGTATTCTGAGTGATATTATGGATTTATTAACGTGAGTTAACGCGACAATTTTGACAGCCCTAATATATACGTAAAACTTTGGCGACTCACCATCTGTCTGTAGGCTTTGGTGAGGTTCACAAGCACTTCATCACTGAGAATATCCAGAGCTCTGAGGCAAACACAGAAAATAATGAGACAAATATAAAATACATGCTCCTACTTTGTTTCATTATAAGAAAAATACTGTAATTTACTTCAAGTCCAGGAGAGCACTGATGTTCAGTACAATGAACTGGAGGCAGGAGAGTTTGAGCTGATCCGCGTTGTACATGGCAGCAAACTCCAAGAGCTCGGCGGCGTTCTTCAGAGTTACTGAACAAATATGAACCGTGAATAAGAGCAGACCGGTAAAACGCTTTAGGGCGACAGAAGTGAATGAGCAAAGTCTTACATAGAGTATGTTAACCTCACAAACATTTTTGCATTCTCCATGATGTGCTAAGAAAACAAGAGACCCACTTACAGTTTTCAGTGATGGCAATTTCACACATCTCCTTCAGTCGTGTGATGAGAAGCTGGTCGGCCACTACCAGCACATTGCACACGAACTCCACATTCAGAGACTCTGGGTAGTGTCAAAGTTGCACAATATTTAATAAAAATTACCTTCCTTAATACGGCATAATTGTTTGTACCTTTAATAGTGGGAGATTCATCCGTGTAAAGGTATTCAAGGATGACCTGAAGGATCTCTGAGCTTGTTGGCATCTCCAGGGCACAACAAGATGTCGCCTGGGAATATGCACAAAATAAAAAAAGGTCACAAACAGCCATTTTGGGTTTAACAAAAATGACAGACGTAGGTACCTCAATCCAGGGGTTTCCCAGCATACTGTTAAAGTACTCTGAGGATGAAGAATAATCGGTCAGTATATGTCATACGCTCTCGGTGTGGTCTTAAAAACTTGTTACCTAGTCTTGCACACAGGACACTTTTGTGACAAGGAAACTCTTTTCCATCTTCAGCCTTGAGTGTGACATCACACAGATAGGAGCTTTGAAAAGAGGTACATAATTAGCTCAAATCTATACACATAAGAAATTATAATGGTTTCGAAGATATCTCTTGTACCATTTTCTCTGGTTGAATTTAAATTTGCTGCTGGTTTTCTTCTGCACGACATTAATCTTCCCATGATCATATTTGACTCCATCCAGTCTGAAGTGATAAAAGGCTGTAATTAATTATGATCAAACATACACAAGTGCTCCCTTTCATTTCTCACCGTGCAGATAAACCTCCCAGTCCAAGCTTCTTTGCCACCCCTTGCAAGGCCTTCACAGGATTATAGTTGCCCTCGGTGCCTGGTGCTTTGTTTCCTTTGGGCTTTTTGTTTGCCTTGGAGCCTTTTGCTTTAGTCTTGTCACCATCTTTTCTGGTTGTGGAAGTCAGGGAGTTATAGACCTCGAGGGCTGAACGGCCACGCAAGTCCAATTCCTGCAGTCCGCTGATAAGCCTGCTCTGTTCTGCATCCTGACCAGTACAAACGAGGCATTCAAGTTGAGTATTTTATTAAGGCCCAGTAATGTAACTTTTGAGCCAAAGAAGAGACTACAGCAGACAAAAAGCATGATTTTAACACTGGATGCTTTTAGGGCATTGAAAACGAAAATAACTTATGCCCCTGCTTTGGATGGGCTTGCATCCAAAAAAACATGATCGTTTTTGTTTTCCAAGCTTGTTACTACTTTGGCTATATTCTAGCATTATTTTGCATAAAGCTTAACCATCTTCTCGATATTGGGTGCTGCGATATTACATAGAAAATGCAATATTAGTTGTACCTTGTTTTGTTCTTTGAGTACTTCTGGCATCCACGGCCGAGACCCAGGTATTAGCAGCTCACAGGAGTCTGTGTAGATGAACTGCAGAGTGTATTCCAGCATTTCAGGGGTAATCTTTTGAAAAGTAATCAAATCACAGCCAACTGCATCTTCGCTTCTGCCGATTTCTTTTTCAAGTTCCTCCTTTTCAATTGATTGGCGGTGCACGGAAAAGAGTTTTTGGAAAAACTCTGACCGTGTGGAGAGTATGAATTTGTGAGCGGGAAAGGTGCGGTTTCCGGCTTGAAGAGTGACATCATGAATGCTATCTGTTTCATCAGCCTCGCCCAGGAGTCTTCGGAAGTGCTCGGAGAAGGAGGATGGGGATAAGCTTGGAATCTCATACAAGCTGAGGACAAGAATGTATTCAAAATCAAACCAATTTGGCCCTTTTAGCACAAAAGTTTAGTAAGAAGTCTACATTTTTGAGAGTTCACCTAACATCACTTGACAGGCGCTATATCCAGAAAAGGCAGAAATACCTAGTTTTGGGGTCAACTTGTAGCACACCATAATTTTGGCCTTTAGAGTCCATAGTGACGCTCACGGCTCTGTGAACGAAGGGAAGTCTTTCCAGGCGAATCTTCTCATGGAATGTTCCCGTTTGGCCACAACCCTCCACACAGCTCTCTGTGGAAGGAAACATGGACACAATAAATATTAAGTCCACATGAAATATTATTGAGCAAGGTGGCAAGTATTTTTACACAAGCACTGTACTAGTCCTAGTATCAGAACTTTACATTGCTACTTATTTTTCTTGTCAAATATCTGTACATTCTACTTTTATTACTTGAGAACTAGATTCAGCAAACTTCAAGTACAACATAAGATAGCGCACCTTTTTTCTCTTCAAACTTCTTATATTCTCCAGCCCAAGTGCCGCTGAAGGCCTCCCCGTCATGGGTCACAAACATGAGGCCATTCTTACTGAGAGCAATGTCAGACATGAAAACCTGTCGAGTATACGCCCAGCGGCACTGTCGCACCAAGCAGCTAGAGAACCGCCAACAAAACACCTGAGGGAAGAGCAAAGGAGTAACCAACATTAGCATGTGAACAAACCATTTAATCACTGAGGGATAAATAATTATAGTGCCTTGAAAAACATTATGTTTTGTTGCAGCAACAAACTAAGATTTTTTTTTCATTGAACATTTTGTGAAAGATCAAAGTTGTAGACAATTGTGAAGCAAAAGCCAAATAAAAAATTATTCTATTATTATTTTTAAGGAAAGTCCAACTCCTGATGGAAGGTAAACAAATTAAGATTTATTTTTTCAAAGGCCATGGGCTTTCAAAAATTAGTGGGTCTAAGTGGGTCAAGACACTAACATTCTACAACATTCATGGACATATGTCAACTCCCTATGAACCAATACCTGATTCTCTGATCTGTGTTGATGATTTCAACAGCTATGTTAAGTCCTCTGAGATAACTGCTGTTGTGATTTAGGGCTGTATATTTACCCTTCCTGCTTCATCCAGAGCCAAAATGGTCACTTTCTCTCCTCCCGTCTCCCGTAGTAACTGTGAATCCACTCGGTGATCAAGAGTACCTCCAGTAACCAACACCTTTTTGATGTTCAACTGCCTAGAAGTCACCATGTCATTACAATGTGTCATACACAAGATAGAATGGTGTAGTGTGCAGTGTTACCTGGAAGCCAGTTTCTTGCACTGGTATTCAGCCAATAAATAAACATCACCTTTCTCTGTCACAACCACTGTCGCACCATCACTGGCAGCTGCCATGGCAATGCCAACATCTTTGTGATAAAGAGCAGAGACCTGCCGCGGTGCAGTCACACACTTCTCACCATTGGGGTCCAGTAAATAACCTGACAGACACATTTTGAACATAAGTTGTATAAATACATATTTAATAGGAAAAAGCCTCTTTGATAAACTTGCCAAGTTGCCCTCCATTAAGTCCCATTGTAAAGACTGCCTCCCTTGTCCAGAACACAGTGTGAAACCTGCCAGCGGCAACTCCAATCACAGTTCGCCCTTTGAGAGCTTTTGAAAACACCTAGAAGCATTGAACAGAAAAAATGAATTTGTGATTTAAAAAATACCATATTTAAAACCCAACGCCGCAGTTGTACCTGTTTGGGGACATGGGCAGAGGCAGGAGGTGGGGAAAGACCAAGCTGATGAAAAGTGTTGAGGCCAAAAGTGTAAACATAGCCTTCCTCTGTCAGAACCACTGTGTGGTCTTTGGCTGCTGCCACCTGAGAGCAATGATGAGACATGAGACCTTCCACCACTCGAGGAACCTGTGGACACATTGAGCAAAGACAGAATGCATTATAATATGCAGTCTTCTACTCCACTGCTCTGGCCTGGCCTTAGCCATCCATAAACTCCAATAATCATTTCCCTAAGCACAAAATCAAATGAGTACGTTGATGGGATGGTAAGACCAGGCTACCACTGGTCATTTGAAAATAAAATATACTGGTTAGAGTTTCATTAAACGTTATTACTATGTATTGTGTGAAGAGCTTCCTAGATATATCTCAAAAACATTATTTAATATACAATCATCAATATTTAGGAGGGGACCGATATACATAAACCAATTGAATGTGTTTATCCCCCCCTCCTGATTTTCTAAAACACCCACAATGGCTGAACCAAAAACCCCCAAAGTGCCAATTTCACGTTTGCCATCCACCTGCCCTGTTGTGAAAAAGAAGATAAAATCAGATGGCGTTGTAAAAGAATACCTCGGGACGCAGCCAGGGCTATGTAAAGCAGGCAGTCGAGTTTTGCTATCTGCTAGTTTGTTAGGGGAAGCTAGCGTATTGTCAAGTATGGCAGACAAATCGCTCACAGACTTGAGCCCTAATTGAGTGTAATGCTGTCACATTTCAAGCACAGGCTGCGTTATTACAGAAACGGCGTTCATGTTTGCTGGGAGTTGAGTTTGTTGGAGGGCAGGGGGAGTGGTTTTAACTCGGATGCTACTGCTAAGCTAACAAAAATCCTTAACTACACTTAAGTATTTCTTACTTTCCTGCAAATAATAAAGACAACACAGTCATTACTTGATTATAAATTAAATGTGCATCATGAACTGATGGTGATATTCTGAATACTGAATCCAATAATAAATCCAAGGTAGATCATGGCTCAATGCTTGTTGTAAAAGTAGATCTTGGTTCTGCTGTACACACTGTAAAAAGCCTCCAGAGATTGAGTAGCCTATATTAGACAATCCAAATACTTTCTTTTTGTAGGGGATTGGATTAATATAAGCATTTTGATTCATTCAATGACTTTTCAAACTAAATCAAGGAATATTTAGAACAGAGACAAATTTTGCAATTAATCACAAGTTAACTATGACATTAATGGGATTAGTTGCAATTCAATATTTAATAGTTTGACACCACAAATATCTATACACAAAATTATAGCTACAGTATACATTATATCAAAATGTCCCTTTTTGAGTCATTGTCTTCCTTCAGCTTCAGATGTAGAGTGCTCATAAAAACAAAGAAGGTGAGTTTACCATATAAGTCTGTTCATCTCCATGACCAAGTCGTCCTCCTTGACCATGTCCACAAGTGAACACCTGGCCTTTCTGGGACAGGAACACACTGTGGAACTTGCAAAGGACCACCTGGAGAAAAAAACATATTTAAGGTTTTGGTTTAGTTCAATTAAGCTTTTTTCCATCAAAGCTGTTTAAAATTAGACTGTAATCAGCTGGTGCCAAGTCTGTGTGTAGTAATAATAAAACACCGAGTACACAGATGAGAACAAAGTGGAAAAGCAAACATCATTATTAATGCATTGCTCTTCTTTAGATTTCAACTGAGCAGAGAGCTTTCCCTGAAGTATCAAATGGATAGACATCCATACACTGGTACAGTATACACGGCAGGATAGATCATTTAATTAAAAACATGTCATTATGGAATTAATATTTAACCTCTGGCACCTGTTTGATTGAGCCCCGGACACAAAGACGACGTGAAGCACATAGGTCATCGAGTGGTCAGGAAACGAAATCCTTCTGACCATAGTCATGTTTTATTAAATGTTTTTTGGCATTAATAAATGAAATAAAATTGCTTAAAATATATAACATTTTTAAACACATAGATAGATATATTTATAACTCAGCATCCAAAAGAGAAACAAATTATACAGAGATATTAAGTTGCTCATAAAGTTAAGTGCTTAAATGAAGCCAAAGGTGATCATCACCTTTCACTAATCCATTAGAAGTACCTCCTACTTGGTGCTCTTGCCCCTGCAGCCAGGGCACTCAGCAGCAGCTGCAGGTGTTTGGGACATAGTGATGCCAACACTGGCTCTTTATACAACACGAGGGGTCAGTGTTTAACACAATGCCCTTCACAGGTGTCTAATGTTTCCATTAGCAGAGGGTTGAAGTGGCCTGTTTGTAGAGGTCAAGTACCTTGTTAATACATTGATGTGTGCCTATTGTTGCACCATGTTGAATACAAATTGTGTTTACAATTTATATATTGATACAATAAATCAGAGGATTTGTTTTTTTTCCCCCCGAGTGACTGAATATGTAGCGCATAAACCTAAACGTGACCCTAAACATATCAGTGGTTACCATCCCAGTGTGTAAACAGGGGTTTGCACTGCAATCCACATTAACATTTCCTTTCACGCACAAACTCCTCATTTCTTTTAAGTATGAATCACACTTGTGTCTACATTGAATTATGTAATATCCATTTAAGGATAACATGTAACAAAAAAAACTGGATCACTCGATCAAAAGGTAATATTGACAAGATAGCACAATTACTAAAACAATAGACTGACTGTTTAATGGATTAACTAAATCAATAAATAAAGAGGTATATTAAAATTAAAACACACCTCTAATCTAACACACCTAAAATTATTGTTTAATAACAATTTTAGGCTTTGGGGAGAGAGTGTTCTGCTGCTGGTTCTGATCTGAAGTTCCCGAGTGCATTGGGACCACATGTTGGCATAGAGCTGAACCTTGTATCTACTGTGCTGATAACTATACATGGCTGATAGCCATCTGCATGTATAGTTTTCACAGAGTGAAGCTGTACGCAGCATGGTGGCACAAAGGTTAGCACTTGTGCACCGCAGCAAGAAGGGCCTGGATTCGATTCTACCTCCAGGTCTTTCTGTGTGGAATGTTTTCCAACTAAAAACATGTGCAATAGTTCAGGTTGATTGAGTGCATGTTTGCAAGTGTAATTAAAACACACTCTGCCATTCAAATAAACAAACAATGAAGTTTCCTCAATAGAAAAACTCACATTTTACTCGACACACAATAACAAAGTGTAGCTTACCTGCTTGATGTAAACTCCTGTCCTGGCAAACACATCTACAAGCTCAGGGTGATGCCGGCTCTCCTGATTACCATGACCAAGGCTGAAATTAGTGTTGTATCCCCAAGTGTATGCCTCTGTTGGGTCTGTAGTAGGAGACAATGTATATTGTTTTCATTGGAGAAAGCAAAAGAGTATTGCATTCAACTAATATATCAATACTTACCGCTTTTTTTAAACACCACATGTGCTGGACGGTCCTTCATTGTAAGGTCCAATACAGAGAAGCCTTCTTTGTCTTGGGTGGTTAGAAGCGCACCATGCTATTTTCACATAAAAATAAATTATCACTATTATTTGTATCAAGTTATTATGGTCAAGATTAAAGGCATTCATGTATACCTTCACTAATGAGATGAGACAGTGGATTTGTCCATAGAAAGCACTGCGATGCAGAGCAGTCCAGCCAGACTCTTTATCCTTGGCCAGAAGATCTGCTCTTTTGCTCTCCAGCAGCCACTCCAAGACAGGCCGCTTCCCCAGTGAAGCAGCCATGTGCAGAGCAGTGCGTCCAAAGGCATCTCGCAGTGTGGCTGCATTGTGACAATGAGTGGACAAAAAGGCGCCTAGCTGACCCTCTGTGCCACTCGTTAGTGCTGCCACTACTTCCTCCGCATGTTGGAGTGATCTGCATTTAACAGTGCAGTCTGGAGAGGCCATGCTCATGTTGACTTCTGAACTATAACAGCCCACCGCCCCACCAAGTGCAAATTAACTAAAAAGTCACAAATGTACAAAAAGTATGCTTTAAAAAAGTCAAAATGGCTGTGGGGTGCTAGAATTGTGCTTGTGTTGAAGTTCCACTGCACCCTAGCAACCCCAGATCCTTTTGGGGACTTGTTTCAGTCCACCATTTTGACCAAGAGCATAACACAAAACAAGGTGCTCATCATGAGTCTTGGCATTAGGAAGTCAGTAATAATAAAAATTATATACAAAACAAATATTTGTGCTTAATACAAAATGCAGAACTTTGACCCTCTAACCTTCTCCAGATTCATTACACCAGAGGGGAAAGGGGGCCCTCCCCCCCAAAATCGATCATCATCTTTTTAAAACTCCATAATTGTAGAGGGTGCCTGTCAATCAGAAAAAATATATTTTAATTGCACACATTGAAACACACATACAGATATTTATTAGAGCTAATAATTTGATAATAAACCATGGTGATTAGTTGCTGAATTTGGGACCGACAGCAGAAACGAAAGCATGCTCTTTTAATTAAGCAACTTTAACAACGCAGCATACAAATGTCTATGAATAGTTTCAAAAGGTCTACCCCAGGATAAAAGTGATCTGAGCAGATGCAGATACCCATGTTATGCAACAGCCCAAAATGATCAAGTAGCTAGCCAAGGCACATTGACCTAACCCTTCGATCGTCATTATAAACATATGTTTTACACTTTGCATACGTGCAGGTACAGTTCTGCAACTGGGGACATTGTCGCAACTAAAATGTCCACTTTAGTACAGCCCTTGGTTTGACTGACACGTAGGCTAGTTAGCATTAGCAACCGGCATCACCGAGACGCTATTCGGGTCATAAATGTCTTCTTACCTCTCGTTAATAAAACAGAAACTGGTCCACAGACAGAGCCACAATTGCGGAGAAACAATATTGTGTCATTGCTACGAATTAGTGAAAAGATCAATTTTTAAAAGGAGCTAAATTTGACAGGTCTGGAAGCTGGACACACTCAGCTTGAGCTAAGGATGATGAAACAACGCGACTTGTGATTGGCTGAGCTGGGTGGATGCAAGGATCCGATTGGCTGGTTGTTTTGGGCAGGGAAGAGAGTTGGATTTGTAACTATTATTTATTTACTACTATTTTTATTATTTTACTAGACTTATAATAAACCCACATAGCGTAGCAGAGATAGTATGTTTTTTTTCTCTCAAAACACAAGAATGATAAGCAACCATAAAATAATTAGTATAACATAATATTATAATACCAGGCGGTGGGGATAATACATGTATTATCCCGTTACCAAAATTACTTTCAATTTAGAAGGCCTCTGTCAAATGGGATCATACCTTACATAGCTAATAATAGGGAAAAGTCACAGGTGGTCAAGGATAAGGTTACAGTGTCAACTTTGGAGTTCCGACTGATGAGTGAATCCTCGTCCAACATTCATACAGACAGTTGTTTCTGCTGAATCCAAGACACAATTATCGTCACAGTTGGTTGTATATCCATCAATGTAAATTGGATTAAGGATTCTCATTAATTAATTAAGGTAAAGTGATCAATGGCGTGTGTTTTGTTTTTGTTTGTATCTGGACAACACAGCCTTTTAGTACGGAACATCACCCTTATGAACAATGGATCCGCTCTCGGCGAAGGTCTGCGCTCTACGAGCGCTTTTCTAGGCGAGACGTATATTAAAGATCTGGGTGCTCAAATTACTCTCACTAAACGTCAGTTGCTTTCAAATCAATGCCATAATACATTTATCCGGTTGACACTGGCGCACATACTCAAATATAAGAAGCCCTGTTTCAACCATCACTTGAACACGAATATCAGGCAACATCCTTATCAAGAGAAGACTAGGATCTATGGATCAGGAGCCTTTACGCACGGCAGCAGCCAGTGCGTCCTCCCCGTCCTCCCCTTGGAGGTGGAGAATGGTTTGGTCCCTCCTCACGACCCGCACGGAGCTGCCGCGCTGTGTTCACTGTGCCTCTCTCCGCTTCGGAGGACGTGGAGTTCAGCTATGATTTTATTGTATATTTAATGCCTTGCCTTTTATCCAAACTCCTTAAAGTAAGTGGCAGAAATAAGTGTATTATCTTTGTAACCTTATTAATCGTGTTTTTTTCTGATGAATGACATTATGTATCACTTGTTCGTTAAAGGTGTGGAGTAAAAAGCAGCAAGTTGAAGCTCTTGGACATGTACGCCGACAAGAACAAGCCCCGGTGGTAATTTTATGGGGTCTGAATTCCATCCACGATTCCCCTCTCAAGGATTCAAGTGGAAAGACACAGCTGAAAAGTTTCGTGTGCCGTAACAAAGGCATAACCCGCGGCTTCACAAAACAGAGAATCTCCAGCATGTGTGTATTTTCAATACTACGCGGATTTTACAAACGCAAAAGAGTTATGCATAACTATGACATGGAGCGGCTACTTTTTCTCCTTCTCGCAGTCATCGCGTGTTGTCAAGGTTGCCCGGAGAAATGCTTGTGCTTCTCACAGACTGTAAAATGCCAAAACCAAGACTTGGATGATATCCCCAAATCATTACCAAACAACACAAAAGTCCTGTTTGTGACAGGAAACACCATTCCCCGAATCAGTGTAGACTCTTTCCCCAGTATTTTAGATCAGTTGAAAGATGTTTATCTGGGTGGAAATGAGCTGGAGTTTGTGGACGCCATGGCATTTAACAAGTTGCCCAGTCTAGTACGCCTGGATCTGAGCAACAACAGCATCCAACATATTAGCCAAAAAGCTTTCCAAGATGATAATAAAGTGCAAGTGTTAAACCTTAGTAGATGCTTCCATAACTTTTCTTTAGCCAATCTAACCTTTCTACAGAATGGGAACTTCCTGCAGCTCTCTGTCCTGGACTTATCCAATAATGACCTTGTGGTTCTTCCTGACAACATCTTCAGCGGCATGCCCAACCTGGAGAACCTCAGTTTACAGAACAGCTCCATGGTTTCCTTACCGGACGGGATCCTGAATGTGCCACCTCTTCAAGACTTGGATCTGAGGGACAACAGCATGAGACTTATCCCAACATCCATCATGTCTGAATTCAGCCATAAACCAGGTCTCCACATACAACTGGATGGCAACCCATGGCGGTGTGACTGCATGATTGAAGACTTCCTCTCCTGGCTACAAAACTCCTCACAGATTACTGATGTCCAGACACTATCATGTGCAGAACCAGAGGAACTGCGACATATTCCCTTACTCCAAGTCCAACACTCTCAGATGAAATGCTCGGTAGACATGGACGGCGTTCTGGAAACCTCTTACGTCTTCCTGGGGCTGGTCCTGGCTTTGATTGGTGTCATATTCCTACTTGTGCTCTACCTGAACAGAAAAGGCATAAAGCGGTGGATCTATAATATTCGGGATGCTTGTAGGGACCACATGGAGGGGTACCATTACAGATATGAGATCAACTCGGATCCACGCCTCGCCAACTTGAGCATAAACTCGGACGTGTAATGAAACTCACATTAGCCGCCTCCAAGGACTTTTAGGATTTGCATGGGTCTTCCACCCTCTCCCTGAAGATGACATTTGACCATGATTTCTTCCTAATGAACTCTAAACCTGCACTCTAAGCACTGCCGCATGTCCCATTACAAGCAACTGGCAGCTGTGACGTCTGACTGTATTAAGTAAAGATAGATTAAAAAGTAGCATTGCATGGACAGTGAACAATGACCAAAAACTGAATTTGATGGTATGCATTATTTTATATTCTATGGAGAAGCATTTGTAACAATGTTAAAAAAAAAAAAAAAAAAACAGTCCTGGCTATTGCATCAATAATAATATACCTTTTGCTGCATAGACATACATATATTGCTTGTTTGCTTGAGTTTTTACATCAGTGGTAAAGATTGCATAGGTTTGGGTATCGTAGCTAGTCCATGTGAGTGTGTATGTGCGGATAGTTGTTGCTGAATAAAAAGTCTATGGATTGTTATCTGTCTGGCGTAGAAGGGCTTTCTTGAGGAATGTGACTTTGCTTTTGATGAGGGCCACACACAGACGCTGTAGGTGTAGCTGCTCAGTCCCGAGGCAGCGCTAACATGAACCATATGGCATCTATCCAAGCTGACAGACAATTGAATGGTGTGTGAATCGTGCACACTTTGGACATGGCAGTTTCAAATAGCCAGTTTGTTTTCCTAAATGCCCTGTGAGTCAATCTAATTAAGGAGGATATTTTTAAAAGACATTTGTTGGTTCAGAGGTGATAAAATAATCCCACTACTAATTTGTTACCAGCTGTGACTCAAATTTGATATCAATCCCTTCAGTGAATATTACACAATATTGTGGGGGGCAGGTCCTCAAGCAAGTTGTATGCACCCTATGTATTTCAACATCAAGGGTTTGTGTGTGTGCAAAAGATACCCGCAGGTTTACTTTCTAAAAATGGTAGTTTTCATAAGGATCCAGTACGTTGAAATAACAAAAAGCTGAGAAATGTTTAGAAGTAAATGTGCAAAAAAGTACAGGTAAGGAAAAGGCAAATATAACCCCCTGGTTTTTGCAGCAGAAGGAGTTCTTTCTGGGCTCTTGCTTTTGCTTTTTAAGTGGCTTTCTTATGTTTATAACAAAAACATTGCAGTTCAAAAAAGTGCACTGTTATACACAGACTCTTTGTCCTCTAAATTCTTTATTAGACGGCTATTTATTTAATTCAACTCTCAAGGATTTGTATGGGAAAACAGCAAAAAGGGAAATATACTGACCAAAGTAGCCAAATGTATTACTAGGTTCATAGTTGGGTGTTTTTTCCCTGAGTAGCTGTTTGATTTTCATGTAATCTAAGTCTTGTGCAGAGAGTTCAGGTTCGATCATATGTAATAGTTTTTACAGCTTTTTTCTCGCCCCCTTTTTAGTCAAGTAATCTATCAAAACTTTCAAGCCGGGGCCCCCAAATGAAACCGACTCCCAACTCTACTGCTGCATACCGTTAAGTATGATCATTAATATAAGCATTAAAGCATGCTGACTTCCTGTTAATGTTTATTTGAGTTAAGTTATTGTGCTTTTTGACCTGATGTCACTAATGAATAAAGTTTGTATCAAAAATCTTGTTAAAATATAATGTAGAAATTTGCTTTGGGAACCACTGGTTATAGATACAAGCCTACTGTGATGCTTCTTGTAGTCAATTTAAAAACAAAATATAGTTCTGTGCTAAACACCTGCATGTATAATTGTGAGTCAAATAATATGCTTTATGAGAAACGATTGAGCCTCTTTTTGACTTGACTCGATGAAGCTTAAGCCAAGACCTCCCAGAGTTCACAAACAAACATTTCCAGTTTTAGTGCAGTCTTTTCAGTTTGACAAGAACATCATGTGCCTTCCTCACAGACGCCAGTGACCAGGACGGTGGACTCTGTTTGACGGTTTGTGGATGTGTAACAGCATCAGACTGAGCTGCAGCTGGTGTTAATTCTGTCTCCAGACAAATCTGCTCATCGTGGATCACACCTTGAGTTTCACTCCTCACAAATCTCCTGCGTGAGAAAAATCTTGTGCCAAAATAGCAACCTGACTTGGAGATAAGAATAATGCGCTGATGCTACAGATCATAAAGATTGTATTTGTCTCTCAACAGAAATGTTGTCTAGAATTGTGTTTCAAAATGTTTGTATATGAACGGTTATATTTACTGTTGATGAGAAAATAATGAATCTATGATGACGGTCAGACAAGAAATTACAAATGTGGCTACATAACAGTATTTTGGGGTTGTAAGGTTTGTAAGATGTATGGCTCCAATTAGCAAATCGAAAAGTTTCCCCATTAGCGTAAAATATCAAAAACAACAAGCCCCTGAAAATAACATTCTGAAATCTCTGTGGACTTTCCTGCTTAAATAAACAATTTATATTAATATATATGTATAATTTAAAAATCATGTAATATGGTTACAGCCCTATGATAAGGTTTTTGAATATAATTGCAAATGTAAACAAGCAAAATAAGATCATTATCTTGAATGCATTTGATGGTTTGTCTTTCTTTCAAAAGGAAAAGGCCAGTTTTAAGCACAGTAGATAGAGAATGTGCTTGTTATGTCAAATTAATTGTGAAACAGTATCAAAGAAAGATAAATACAACTTAGTTCCAGCATTTATTTTTCACAATTCAGTTTCCCACAAGTTTGAATGATTTATGTGCACTTTAAACATTTACCCAACCCTTCAGAACAGAAATGATATCTGTAAATCCAATTCTACATTCAATTTAGTCTGGAATTGTGCCGCCCTAATGCACACTGTGGCTCTATATCTGTGCGCTGAATGTCTATGTGTGATTGTTGCATTTGTATCCAGACAGGCAGCACCTCGCAGAATCCCCGTGTGCATCTCTCTCGGTTCTCTCTCCCCGGAGGGACGAGGAGCAGGCTGCTTACACCCTATTGTTTCCACAGAGACCATCAGCACATGCACATTAACAAAGTGAGTGTATGCGGCCACGCCTCGAGCAACGCTTGGCAGGGCAGGTATAATTACAGCACCAGAAAGAAAAATGTATATGAGAGAAAAGATGGTTGGCGAGAGGAGAGCAAGCCTAGGCATCACACTGGAGGGGCGTCGCTAGAAACCCCACCAAAAATGAAAACTGTAAATGAAAGCTGGCTGAAATTGTCTGATTTTTTTGTTTAAAGGCCTTGTTTACATTTGGGTGTCATTATATCATTGAAGGTTTTATATACATATGGTAATTAATGATGCAAATTTTATTATCATTCCTTAAAGTTAGGGTACATATTATAACGTTTTAGCACAAAAAATAACTATATTCAACATAATACATCTAACTATTGTCACATGTAAATATTTTTTTTGCCTCGGCTTTATGGGCTCTATGCACGCACAGACAGAAAAGTGGGTGAAGAAAGGATCGCTCCCACTCGGTAACCAATCAACTCTCTGCCCAAAGTGTCCAATAGTGACTGAACTACTATGTTTTCTCGTAAGATCAATCCAGCATGTTGTGGTCTGATATGATCGTATAATTAAACAAGAAAAAAAGGGTACAAGCAGCTTGAGAAAAAATCATTGGTTTATTATAAAAAAGGCAAAGCTGTATTACAGTTTACAAAGCAATAACGTTTCAGTTTCATGCTTGATTATAGGAACAACACTGTTAGAAAAGTGTCCAAGGCAAGTTTATTTGTTCATACACAAGGCAACTCAAAGTGCTTTGGGCCGGTAGTCGGAGGTGCTCATCCCGAGAAAAAAATCCGTGGTTTATACAAAGCACAATGTGTCTATCCAATTGTCTGTGAAACTGTGTTATTGTTCTCTGCGGTTTATTCTACTGTTTGTCGCATGGCGCCGTAAAGATGGCGGCGTGGCAAGAGCTCTGGTGTGTGTCGTCTGGTGCACACTGGGGTAGTCTTGCACAGTTTTCCCAATGTGGTTTTACTGCAAATGGCAAATAAATGAATCTGAATCTGATCTGAATCTGAAAAAACTAGATGGAAACAACAAGGCTTTCAATTCATAAATAATCACCAGACATTAGAAATAATAGATACAATGTTTCTGTTGTATGAACAGCTAAACAGAATAATTTTTAACCCAGATTTGAACATTGTCAGAGAATAAGCCTGTCTCACATTTTGGGGAAGACTGTTCTAGATTGTAGCTGTATAAATGTGAAATGGTGCCTCCCATGTTTAGTTCTGACTCTGGGCACCAGCAGGAGTTGGCACTAACATGTCTATGATGTACTTTGGTGTGAGGCCATGGACATTGTTTTTCTTTTTTCTTTTACACTACACAATCCTCTCTTCATACTGCTTTTAACTGCATTTCAACTTGTGTTTTTACTGTTTTTAAAATCTACTTTTTACTTGCAATGTGAGGCAACCTGAGTGTCAAAAAAGGCGCCTAAGAAATAAAATGTAGAATTATTATTATTATTCTGTGCATTAGTGATAACAGCATGCTTCAATTAAATATTGTATCGCCCATAACCACATCCTACCTACCTGTTAGTGCATTCATGAGACAGAAAAATAAAGATCCTTTTCCTCCTGACTGTTGAAATGACACAGCATTGGTAAAGTCCAGCCCTACATCAGTGACACCAAGTTCCTTTGTGCTTGTTAACCCCAGTCCCCAAACTGTCCAACATCCAAACACTGGGCTAGTAACTTATGGTGTATACTGCAGGCCCATATGGAATCCTCTGCTGTGAGAATACGCAATGGAGATATGGAGTAATGTAAAAATCAAACAAAGACAACAGTGCTCTAAACCTTAAGATGTTTTCCATTCTAAACTATTGCGCAACAGCTTAATAATAGTAATTGTGACGTCTCATTTTCTACATAAACATAAAAAGGCTTTGTATACAGGGAGCTCTGGGAGACCTGCTCATAGCCGTGTGTCCTTTGGCAGATACTGTTCAGACGACTTGCCAAAGAAATGTTTTTTTATAGTATGCAGCTGTCGTCTTGT